AAATCGAAAAACAGACTTGTTTTTTAGAAAAGCATTGTTACAACGTATTCCTCAGAATAACATTACATTTTACACAAATTTAACGTTATCGCGTTTATATCTCGTGGGACAAGGCTCTCTCTCCTTAAACTTTGACTAACCTTCAAATAGCACAAATTTCGTAAATATCAAAAATGTGACTGTTGCAAAAAAGGCTTCCTTGCAGAGGCTGTAACAGGAAGAATAATATTGTGCTTTACACGCGCTACGCGTTACCGCACGTCACCGCACATATTTTTCGCAGGAGCTCTTCTCCTCAACGGCTAGTAATCGATTTAGAAGATTTCGAGAATCAATGAGAAAAAAATCAATTTTTGGAAAGGGCTTTTTTAGTACGCTGTAGTGGGAAAAATAAGTGCTGAATAGGTCACTCATCACTCGTGTCGAGCGGATTTTCGTTAATTAATTTGGAATTTTTTCCTTCGTTTCGTAAAGACTGTTGGGGTTTTGTGTTGAGATTATAGTAAAAACTTTAATCTATCCTTGTACGGTTTATGCTTTTTATTTTCATTTCATATTGCAAAAAAATCCGCTACCAAACCTAAGCCTAAGCAGCCTAGATCTAAGCACGAAAATTATATGATCGTGTAGAGGAAAACTTTAAGTGTCACAGCTAGCATATGTATATCTAGATTCCTACCTAAAAAGAAAAAATTCTGAATTCATTAACAAAAATAGCGCACCATATGTGAAACGCGCTACGAGGTAGATCAATTCAATAGCGCAGTGCAGAAAATCAATCGCGGTGCACCGCAGAGCTATCTCAATATTATTTCCCTTACTACGTGTAGTGAAACGGTCTTTTCCGAATCCAAGCATAGTTTTGGAATTGCCGAATCTTGCGCTATAGGGTGCTCATCAAATAGGGAGGAGCTCTGTCCTTCGAAAAATACGCGTTTGTGAAACGCATCATTCTTTTTAGCTGCAGTGCGCTGAGAAGATTCTTCGAAAAAAATGCAATATTATTCCTTAAGATTCACGCTCTCGATCAGTTGATCGATTGATTGGGTACTACTAATCTGGCAGAAAGCTATGTCTTGCAAAATATGATTGCGATAATACGCGACGCATGTGTAACATAATTTCATTTTGAGTGCTGCAGGGCCGCAAGAAGATCGTCACGTAGCATATAAATTTTTGAATTCTCCTAGATTTGAGCATTTAAATAAATGTTAATATCGCTTTTTTCGATTGTTTTCTGAAAGACCATGCTCAAGTTTCAATATATCTCACAATTCTTATCTGAGCCAACTTGTCATGAGATTTGAATGGGCTCTTGTACAGCTCAATACACGTGTTTCGACCTTGACAGTCTCGTCAGTCGGATAGAACTCTTTGACTTTTAGCCAATCCTCTGGGGTGCTCCAGTCCTGCTCGAGTGCACAAAACTGCTGTTCTAGTGATTTTTCACTTGACGGCAGTGCAGTGCCAAACCATTCGTCGTTGCCTACTCTTCGTGTAAGGACTGGACCACCTACAGAGGATTGGCTAAGGGACGAAGGGTTTCTGCGCATCTTACGGAATTGTCAAGGTCACAGCGTGTGTTTTGGGCTGTACAAGAGCCCAGTTTAACACACCTCATGACCAGTTGGCTCAAATAACGGTTATGAGATTAATTTAATCTCAGTAGTCTTTCGGGAAGTCATTACCCAACGAAAGCGATACCTTCAAATTGTCTCCGAGATAACTGAAAAGTTCCAAATTCTCTAAGAGCGCTGTAACGATGAGTAGAAATCACGTTTCGCACTCAGAAAAGTTAGCTTGCTGCAGAACGGATTAATTTAGTGATATAGAAGAGATATAACAAGGTGGTAACCATAGAGAGATAAAACAAAGCCTCTTTTACAAGCCTAATTTCTTATTTCTTATAAACTGGCAACACAGGCACTGGGTGGCAGCATTTTTGACAAACTTCTCATTATTTTATGAATTTTTTATCACTTATAGAAGACGTGTGTACCAGAACATAGGAGAATATATAAAAAACATGAGTCACGATTTTCTTACTTGATCATATACATTTTGGTTTGCATTGACCTCTTGTATGTGAAGAAGACTTTGAGGGCTAAAATTCTGAGAAGCGTAGCTCTTAAAACTATTGAATAACTAATGGAAAGTCAAGCGAGAAGCCAAGAGAATATGGCAGCCGTACAAACGATGCCTACCGAAAGTAGAATGGTATTCTCTCTTGGCACCTACTGCGCACTAAAAAGGCTTTTTACAAAAGGGACTCAAAAGGTATGAATAATGGTAGGAATGATGAAACTGGATAAAACCAACCTTCTCGATCTCTTCGGAGTCTGGATTAAGGACATTATGGAAGCGAAGAAATTGCATTCCATGCTGGCTCATTTGCAAAGAAACAATCAACATTATATTGATCTGAAGTTGAGGTTTGCGCAGAAAATATCAAGAGTTGCAGTGGTTTACTTGTAAAAGGCTTGAAAAGCAGACAGAACATAAAAGAAGGGATGTGAAAAATAACATCATTGAGAGAAAACAAACTCACTACTAGTAAAAATATAGCGAGAATACTCAGTAGCACAAGACATCCGATTACAGCATACAGCCTTCTTTCCCGCAGACCAGTAATATGAATGGAATCGTGGAGACTGTCAGTAGCCGACGGGAACGATGTCTCCGAACCGGAACGCATATAGGCAGGTTGCGGCATTCGTCCTTCAATAATATCACATAGTTGTATTGAGCTTACCACTGTCAATTAAATGAAGTAGATAGTAAGCTAAGCCCTGCCGATTTGCCTTTTACGGATTGATCTGTTGCTTATAGTCCTGGGGAGGAAAAGGACATGACCCTGCGTTTATTCTACTGTAGATATACCCACGAGCTATGCGCAATTCCTATGACTGATGCTGCATAAAAAACATGGCTAAATTCTTGATCCTCAGTAACTTCCTGATTTATGCCAGTTTACTCAACAAATGTAATCAACTGTTTTCCTCTTATAACAAAGACGAGGCTCGATCTACTGATGATGAAAGGGATGGTGCGAGATCAAGAGTTGAAAGCTCTACGCTAGCCTATTCTTCGGGAATATGCCATTAGCTGGACTGCATTCCTGGAATCGTAGAGGTGACTGAATGCATACGTGGCTTAGACAGCAACACACGAGGCATACCGATGTACAATGTGTACATTTAGTGACCACTCTTAAGAATGCAACTTTATTTGTTATCTTCAATAAGTTCCATCAAGTCATTGTGTAGACAAATAGACATTCAACTCTCTCTAGTGTTACGAGTGGAGACGAATGCCAAGGGTATCTCTCGCAGGCTGATCAACGAGAAAATTTCTATGTTATAATTTTTCATCAGAATATAAAAGGATGAGTGATAAAGCTCTTGGCATTGATCAATCCCTGTGGAATGCGCCATCCAATCGCCTTCAATTCTTAGAATCGTTTGAGGTGGTTAAATGCATATTTAGCCTTTACAATGACTCGCGAAAAGGCCTATCGCTGTAGTCAGAGTTGCTTATTCGCTCAGACAAGTCTGCTACCAATTTTCAGTGTTCGGATGGATGGATGGATTGGTGCCATGAGCGCGAGTTCGAACCATCGACTTTGTCTGCGAAGCTGTGCACCTTTAGCCACTGCGCTATGTGAACTCCCATCAGGACATAAAATCAACTGATCATGTTAAAAAAGGGAACAAAGGTAGATAGAATAAGTCAAGCTGTTCGACTGGAAAAATGATGAGAATCCGTTGCTATCCGAACAATGTTACTTTGTAATACTATGAAGAAAGGACTCGACTTTGTTTCTTTTTCTTCCAAGAAGATCAAAATAATATGGTGAATAGACCGTAGCACACCCATACCTAACTTTTCCAATTGAGCGCACAAGCTAGTCTATCATTCAAATAATAATTCAAAAATGTTTGGGTGAGGTAAGCAATCGATAGGAGGAGGATGACGATAGCTGTGTTTGAACGGCTGGTTGCTGGCTGGTCAGCTTGTTACAACCGCGATTCGTTGTAAGTCGTCGCAAGAAAACGAATTACTCGGAAAAGTTGTTAGACATTGTACAGCGTTTAGAGGTAAGCGGAAAAGAATCCATGGACCATCACTTCTTGTTTAAATACTTGTAGGCTTATATTTTTTCTGTCCCACAATTTTGTACTTCCTTCACTTGATTCGTTTACCACCATTACCGTCACCCATGAAGGTATTTGAAATCACATGAGAGTTCGCCTAACGACTAATTTTTCGGTCTTCACAGAAAAACTGTTCGAGACAGAGCATCCTGCTCATATAAGTCCAGTACCAGTTCCCCGAGTGAGAAATAATGGTCAGTGACTTTCTTAACGTACAAAATTGATGAATTGGTTCAACAACAAAAAACTGCACTGCTTTTTCCAGTGAAGCATTTTTTCTTTTACTTTAATCAAGATGCTACCAAGTCTGTATCCCTTTGTCTGAAATACAATTAGGTTATTACTAACAACAAAAGACAATTTTTTTACTCCATTTCTATCGAAATTTCCATTTCAACGGCAGGGTATGGTGTGAAATATAACCACAAAGATGTTGAAATACAAACTAACGTTGAAACTTGGCTTCGAACCTGCGATCGCACCTGACTCCCGGAAAAAAATCTAAAGTTTGAAGGCACATTAAGGCTCAAATTCTGTTTGTATCTCATCACTCATGAGAGTGAAAAAAATGATTACAGTAGTCCGTGTACCTCGTATTGCTAATTAACATCATTCCATGGATACTCAAATTATTTCAGCAAAGACAAGAGATAAGGAGGATCGAACTATGTGAAATGTATTTGGATCATCAAACACACAATTTGTATATTTAAATAATAATACATATAAAAACATTGTTGCTTCTTCGGAATTCTACTCTACTGCTTTTTTCGCAGTGATATGATGTTATAGATTGAGTGGTGAGCAAAAATAGATATGTTGAAGAATGAGTGGTGGCTCAAATGTGCCTCGGTGGTGTAGTGGTAGCATTCGTCCTCGGTTTGGATGAAACACGGGGTTCGACTCCCGTCTGAGGCCCATTTTGGCTCGGCACTCAGTCACTTAGGTATTTTTTGCTCAGGGTCCTTATTTAATAGTCCATTAGTGTGCAGTGTGATATCTATTCTTTCAAAAATGATATATTTCGCTTGAGCTTAACTTTTTCTGTCTTGTCCAACGGCTTTCCAAATGGTCGATGGCGATTGACAGTTGCTCATTTTCAAACTAAATGGACCTCGATTTTTGACAAAAGGTCATGTAAGGTAAGGTCATGTCTAGCCGCTATATCAGAAGGTAAAGGTGATTCGCTACATTGATAATTGAAAAGATGATATCTACGACAGAGCGACTCATAGAAGTTCTTAACAAATCATATTGATGGGATAAAAGGATAAAAGGATAAAGCTCTCGGGTGTTGATCAATCCCTGAGGGATGCGCCATGCATTCGACTTCAATATTTAACTACCTTTGAGGTGATTAAATACATATCTGGCCTTTACAATGACTCGCGGTGGCCTCCCGCTGAACCGAGTCAGTGCTGCTTATCCTCCCAAACAAGTCTGAGACCTGTCTGGTACCATTTACCGACCCCGGAGGGATGGATGGCTTGGCGACGCCATGAGCGCGAGATTGAACCAGTAACCTCGTGTGCGACGCAGAGCACCTCTAACCACTGCGCCACATGCGCTTTTATTGATGGGATATCTTAGAATATTTCGCGAAAGGTTTCACCGAGAACATGTTGCCTTCCTATGAGAATGCAGGTTGTGAATGGAAGTTGTAATCTTGTGCACAAGAATCAGAACTCATTTAAACGCTGATGAGCACACATTCATGATCGACAAAAACGAGAGTCGACAATGACCAGATGGCGTTCTCGGACGACATTACCAAGTTTTTTCTTTTCGTGTTCAAACACAGAGAGATGTCCTAAGAACAACTTTCTCTGCCCCGACAAATTTCAATATATCCCCGTCTTTCATACTGAGCTTGACACGAAATTTTGTAGTATCGTTCATTTAAACAGCTGACGTTTCGGCGGTTTCGCCTTCTTTAGAGCCTAAAAAGATTGGGCTGTCCACAACCCAGTCTGCCAAATATCTCTATCTCTTCATATAAAAAGTCATCAAACTTATATCCCAGTTACGTCAAGCACAAAAGTCAGCCTTCAACACACTCATCATCTTTTACGAGTTTTCCATTGAGCTGTTCAAGTGGAGACCACCGAGCAGAGATCACACGAACTCGTAATATATCTCCCTCATAAAATATCTGTTTAACTAACGCCAAAACGTCAGCTGTTCAAATAAATAATACTAGAAAAACAAAGAGATGTGATGTGGGTAATAACTAGGTGAAAATAGTTCAGTTCTCGTTTTCATTTTTCATTCAGTTTTCAAGAGAGTCGTGTTCCTTCTATTGAATTCTTCACGATTTCAGCTGAGCTTCTGATAAACATTACTCAATCTTGCTGCTGATGCCAAAGGAATTACAGTGTACGCATTGTTCAAATTATCCGCTTGATATTGGTATATGTATATATAGATTATTACTTTGAATGTGGTTATGTCATATACCATTCCAATGAACATTTCCCACTTAATGTTTTGTTGCCAATGATATATCACTCGCTATTTCTTCTATATTTATTTTAGACTATGGATGGGTGTTAGAGAAAAAGCAAACTCGAACAAATTTCTTGTCATAATGGGCCGTAAGGCAGCAAAGAAACTTGTAACATCAACAAAGCATTTGGCTCAGGGACCGTTAACGATTTCACGATGCGCGGTGGTTCAAGAAGTTTCGTAAAGGTAGCGAGAGTTCTGAAGTTAAGGAACCTCAGAAAAAAGAACCATCTGAGAGCAATCACCAGTTGATTTTCTTAAGACTATACGAGATGTTGGAATAAAAACTCACCGTCCGACCTAGCTGCTATCGGTCCACCATTTGAAGCAGCTGCAAAAGTAAGTGGTTTCAGTCTGGTTTAAAACCACAATTGATTCTGCACCAATTTTACCACCTAACTGCTTTGTCATAACAGTTCCATAGACGTGATTTTGTTTGTTTCGGCACACACGAGGTTTTTGATACAAGTTATTTTGTACAAAGTAGTGCAATGGAGATCGTATCCGTGGCTAACGTTTCGGCAGTCTTGCCTTCCTCAGAGCCTGACCGTTCTATAGCGATACCTCTTCACTGCGCATAACTTATTTAAATCTATGCATGATACTTTTCTAATCTCTTGCATTCAAAAGGCAACCATTGAGTCTTTCATACAGAATGAGAAAGAGACCTATTCGCTGTGACACATCATAAATGTGCTTTTGGATTAGCACTAAATGATTGCGAATTCGTGACCCTCTGGTGACACCAGTTGAAAACTCTGCGCGCGATCTTCGTTATCCAGTTAGAGTTTCCTTCTACGCTTTACAAACACAAATCCTTAGATTTTGGTAATTTTCTGATATGATTTGATAGCATTTTCAAGCTTTTATGAGGTCTTTTATGGCACCTCCAGTGCTAGACTTATGTTTTTATTTATTCTTCATCATTAATACTTCCTATTCGTTTCACGTATTAAGGAATCGGCGCCAAACATGTTGTATGTAATATTCAAAGCTTTTCTGTTATATGCAATATCCAAAAGTTTTGTTATATGCAATAACAAATAAACTTGTTCTTTGAATTTAGGTTTGGATCAAGAAGATATAAAGCGGTAAGAAGAGGTGGTTTGCACTGTGCACGCGCTTCTAGGTTCGATCCCGCATTCTAAGCTCATCAGGTCTTCCTTCCTTTCAGGGCCGACAAATTGGTGTCAAAACTGTTTCGAACGATAGGAGTAATAACCTGGTGCAAAGATAGGCCACACCACTGCGGGTTATCGTGTAGGTCACATATGAATTTCACCAGCTCTGAAGATGTTTGATGAAATGGAATGTGTGGTACTTCCGATAATGACCGCCGAAAGCCAAACGCTTTGTCCTTTAACATTTAATTTGTGATAACTGGTTATTCTAGACACCATCGGCCAACATTACTTTGGCTTACTTGACAGATGCTTGGAAACACTAGTTAGTCTGTTGGCAATGTGACCTCACCTAAAAAATCATTGATCATACAAGACGACTCGTCCTGTTGGCATGAAATGATTAGAGTCAACAGTCTTCTGAAAAACAGAACTGCTAATAGTCGGCTACCACTCCATAGTTACCTGCTTATACATTTGTGCTTACCTTTAACTTTAATTTTCTTCCTAATTTATCTTTAACGGCAGGATGCGATATGAAATCTAGCCACAAGAGTGCTGAGACATGAGCGAAGCTTGCAAACCCTTAGGTAACTTTGAACCCGTGCTTACCCATCCAGAAGGTTCACCAAGTTTTCAATGCACCATCGACTTCCTCACTTAGCCTTTGCCTCAATTGTTCTGCCCGTATCTTAGACCCTTGTGGATACATTTCACATTGCACTCTGTTGCTAGAAATGAATTAGACAAAGAACAGAGATTAATGGTCGTGATTTCAACCACGGCTTCAGCTTAACTGAGGTTTATTTCGATTTTCCTTTCAACATCAACCTCGTTGACGAGTGATTGCTGTCTGACACGGATTGTGTTGAAACACGGCTGTAATAAAATCAGAATGAGAGCCTTGGTGGTATGACGAAAAACATAGTTAACTCCTTAAAAGGGTAGCAGAAAGTCTGGAGCCATCATAGGTTCCTAATTCATTCGTACCTCAACACTTTTGCTTTTCTACCTGCAATGTTCGAACATTTCTAACATTACTCCCTCAATATCGCTTATTTGAAAGTTCGTTCGTAAGCGAATACTTCGCGACCTTCTGATTTTTTGTGTAACTAATGAAGATATTATTGATACGTTCGAATCACTGCAAAATTCAAGATCATCGCAAAATTTACATGCTCACAAGTGTAGAACACCATTTCTTCCGCTCGTTTCGGAATATCGTAACCGTCATTTAGGAAGTTAATCATGTTCACATGTTAATCGGCAATAACATTGAATTTCCTGGTGTTCAAAAGTTAGATTTCAAGACACTTTGTGTTCTAAATAGAGCATGTGGATGTCTGGCGCAGTTGCTCAAGATGTCGTCAGACGTTGGGTCGCTGGTTCTCCCTCATTTTACCAAGCCTCCTATCCCTCTCAACTCAAACACTTCACACTCACTTGGCCCATCTACGAATGCTCTTTTAGTTCCACATGTAAACTGTGAATGCTTACGTTAGTATTTGAATAGATTTTAAGCATATATGCATTATTACTACTAACTTATCACGGTACCTAATATTGGTATCATCATTAATATGGCTACATGAAAAGGGCTCGTGTCGCGCAGTGGTTAGAAATGCCGCATAACACACACGTGGTCGATGGATCGACCCCATATCCAAGGCTCACTAAGATTTCCACCTTCCGAAAAAGGACAATTCGTACCATATACTGTCTGAAAGTGTAGCAACATTGTATCTGCACATCGGCAGGACCACGAGTCACCATAAAGACCAGATGTGCATTTAGTCATTTCAAACAATGTCAGATGAAGAAAAATGCATGGCGCATCCCTCAGGGATTCATCAACGCCGAGAGTTGTCCCTTGATTTTTTTATTTCACATGACCCACATCTACAGTGCGGACTCCAACACTAAGTACATTTCGTTCGTTTCTTCGCATCCCCTTATCAATTTTGGTCTTCCAAATTTCTTTGCAGATGGATTTCGTTGCTGCTTTATTTTTTTGCCTTCGCTATGAATATCGCTGAACGATGATCGAGTCAATTCTCCTTGGTTTAATAGGATAATCGTACCTTGTGAATTGGAGATAATCACACAGATATTTTTTTGTCGTGCCAATTCCCGACCAATGAGGGGTAGGGAGCTCGGTGGATTCAGCTCACAATCGAGTCAGTACCGCGCTTCTCATGAGTGATATCTATCAGAGTCATCTTCGCTCCACCACCTCGCTCTGGAAGAAGTACTGCTTGCTGAGGGAGGTAGCAAAGCACCTAGTGATGGTGC